GCTTACAGAAAAGGCGATATTAAAGTGGTGGGAAAGTCACTGAAGCCGAGATGCCGGAACAGAACCAATAATATTGCAGATTCCTCTTTGGATTTCATCAAGAATCTCTAAATATATAGCAGGAGCAGCAAACTATTTCTTAGGAAGCAACCTTAGCAAATGATTCAATATAATCTTTCCATTTTATGTGAGCAGAGAACGTTAGACCGAGAAGTTAAAACGAGTCACTTATTTGGAGGTTAGCATCAGCCATGTTGACTGAAGGCAAAAATAATTCTCTCAGATGATTGATAGAGAGCAGTTTTGTTTTGGAATTAACAAAACATTCCTTGACCCAATTAGCAACAGATTTTAGGTCAATTTTGTGATTAGCTGTCATTTTGACCTTATAAAACCGATCAGACTTGCTATTGCAAAAACAACAACAATAATAATAATAAGAAGAACGACAACAACAACAATAATAAGAAGAAGAAGGACATCCACTAATTGCCCAAACATCGTTATTTGAGACCACAAAAAAAAAAGCTTCTTTATTGATATAGCAGTCCCTGCAGACTGCAAAGTATATTTGAAGATCTTCAAAAAGCTATCAAAATACAAGCACCTTGAAAACGACCTCTCAAAAATGTGGTACATGGGAACATTAACAATCCCTGTTGTAGTTGGAGCCCTCGGATTGGTTGGAAAAGATTCCAATAGACTCAATAAGAGGGATTCCTGGTAGCCCATGCCTTAAAGAAATGCAAAAAAATGTTCTCACGAGTACAGCCCACACCTTACGAAGGGCTTTATCTATGTAAAATGTGTGATTTTTTAATTGCTCAGTGGAAAATGTCATGATGCCATTTCTGACATTAGGTCTCTTGGCAGTGCCCGGAAAGAAATGAGTACACACCAGAAATAAAAGAAAATAATAATAATAATAATAATAATAATAATAATAATAATATGTATGATAGAGTTAAACTAAAGCACATCAAAATACATCCACATATGGCTATATTCTCGATATACGTAGAATTCATTCCAACACTAACAACGTACAATCAACACACGTACCGACACCACCAACTCCCACAAGACCTGCTAGAAATAAGAGACACGCCCTTTTCCAGTCATCCTCCCACTATCGTCACGGACACTGCCAGACAGATCCAACAATGCCCACTAGAAATCAGAAGCGCGCATGCGCACGCCCACAGCCATACTGACGCGGGGACGCACGTACTAAGACCACATGACAAAAACACCTGAGGTCTGCGGACAGAACTCAAACATTCTCTTTCCTAACTCATTTCCAAAAATTTCTGATGAAGCTTAAATAAAATCGTATTTATTCGAGTGGCCTAACCCGTCTTTGTAGTGAATATTGACGCCATCACAAACATGAAATCAAGCTGAGGGAAATTCAGTGAGTTTATTATCGACCCTCTCAGATATTCGGTCGAACATTACAGTTCCATCATCCTGAGAATGATAGAAAGCGAAATTTAACGTGGTAACGTGGACAAGTGCCCGGGGAGCATATATGTGGGAGCACCTTTTTTTGTTTCCATATCACAGGGAAAAATGACCTTTTGGTTTGGTTTAGTTTTGTTTGTTTTACGGCATATCAATGGGTTATTTAATGCCAACAAGATTTTTAATGCTGGTAATATTATTCTAGAAATGTATTGCTGGATAAAGGTATTGATGGTAATAATTATTTACAAAAATGTATTGCTGGTAAAATACCAAAAATGGTATTGCTGGTAATAATACCAAAAAAAGGTATTGCTGGTAATAATTATTTACAAAAATGTATTGCTAGTAATATTTTTTCCTCGAAAATGTATTGCTTGCAACGTTTTTTTCCTTCAAAAATGTATTGCTGGTATTGAAACGTATTTTTACACTATCATAATGTTTTGACCTCAGTTTGGGGGTTAACTATTTGCCTATAGGTGGGACCCTAACATGTGCTACCACCCCGTTGGACCTGGGAACACCAGAAATTAAGAGGTGGTCCCACGGTCCTCGAGATATCTTGATCAGAGGTCTTGCTGTTGGATGTGGTTTATCGTCTTACCCAGGACGCGGATGTAGTTTATAGTCTTACCCAGGGCGCGGATGTAGTTTATCGTCTTACCGAGGACGCGGATGTACATTGTCGTCTTACCCAGGACGCGGATGTAGTTTATAGTCTTACCTAGGACGCGAATGTAGTTTATCGTCTTACCCAGGGCGCGGATGTAGTTTATAGTCTTACCCAGGGCGCGGATGTAGTTTATAGTCTTACCCAGGGCGCGGATGTAGTTTATCGTCTTACGGAGGACGCAGATGTACATTATCGTCTTACCTAGGACGCGGATGTAGTTTATCGTCTTACCTAGGACGCGAATGTAGTTTATCGTCTTACCCAGGGCGCGGATGTAGTTTATCGTCTTACCGAGGACGCGGATGTAGTTTATAGTCTTACCCAGGGCGCGGATGTAGTTTACCTCGTGTAGTTTATCGTAGGGACGCGAATGCAGATGTACATTATCGTCTTACCCAGGGCGCGGATGTAGTTTATCGTCTTACCGAGGACGCGGATGTAGTTTATAGTCTTACCCAGGGCGCGGATGTAGTTTATCGTCTTACCGAAGACCCGGATGTAGTTTATAGTCTTACCCAGGGTGCGCGCGGATGTAGTTTATCGTCATATCCAGGACGGAAAATTCGACCTTGTTGTAGGCACCGTGGCCGTAGCGATTCAGAGGGTCGTGATGGGTAAGTAGGCCGGGGTGACGATCTCATGCAGTTTGGTTGAGTTATTAATACCTGTGACCGACAGCAATAGGAGGTCGGGTTTCGCCTCAAGTAAATGGAGTACCACATCTGGAAAGTTGAAACATAGACATTTCACATTGGTCTATGAGATAGTATAAGTGAAGGGTCTATTTTTATTTCTATTTATTTTTATTTTTTGGAGGTTGGATTTGCTGATTTTTTTCATATTAATTGAATTCATAAATAGATTGTAGTGTGTTTGGTAGAAGACTAGAGAGTGAGACAGACACACCTACAAGAGATGCATGCATAAAAAAATCATCCGGAAATACAGCCGTAACAGTACCCTCGCTCCATGATATTCTCATCATCCTTCTGTAGAACGACATCTCCGCTGCCTCGTGTCTCTCATAGAAATCCAAAAAGCTTCAAGGGACAATTCATTATGTTTAATCATCAACCGACGATCAGTGGATATGATAAAGTAATTAATTTATCACATTTGCTTAGAAACAAATAAGTGATAAATTCTAAATGATAAATTACTAAGTATAAATAAGACAACTTTTAAATAAACAATCCTAATCCTCGTCATCATTTTATGTTACATAATACATCTTTTAGTAAGCAACTTTCTTGAACTAGGCATTGAGGACTGTCCGCTACTCCTACCAGTTTCATACAGCAAAACAAATGCTTCCTATTATTGAAACTTTCCTCAAGTGGTATCCACAACGAGACGGGTACCATAATATAATAAAGTAAATATATTTATTTCTTATATCTGGACACATGTTTCTTTGGAATGTCAGGGCGTACCTAGACATCTTCCACGGCGCACAAATGCGTCCAGGTGTACCATTTAAGAATCACTGGTTGAACTCATCCAGCCAAAGACAGCCAATGTTAAGAAAGACACTTTTTTCAAAAGGCAACAATAATTTAACGTATCATAAGAAAGAGAGAATAGAATAGAATGTCTGTAGTGGTATGGCTCAATTGTCGATGGTCTTGATGGTCTGGCATCCGGTGGTCACTCGCCGTATTCAAAATGGTGGAAGGGTAACGGTCTGGATAGCTTTTGAAACCACTTCGAAAAACACTGAGACCATTCAGTCGGCTTAATGCTGATATATTTTATCCTGTGTTTTGATTCCTTGTGAGGAAGAAATGCCAACTGAAAGAACAAAGCTAATGCTCCAATCCATTGTGTAGGTTTAATATTTAAGGTTATTCATCTCCATTGTTAGAGGTCATGTCTAGAGGTGCAGGGATCATTTCTAAATGCAAACACGCCAACAAATCGTTACTACGATACCTACAACCACGGTATGACCAAAGAGACTAAATAAAATACCACCAACCTAAACCTATTTTCGAATAGAAAAACTTATTAAAAAAAATATATGTATATATGGAGCAATGGATAGCGGCACAGATTGAGGAATCAAAGAGCCGGGTTCGAATTCAAGTCGAATCCATTACATTCACTTACATGCCTGGGGAAAAGGTATTAATCCTCTTCTTCTCCCTCGAGAAAGTCAGGACGGGAGAAGGACAACTCTGAATTCAAAACCTGCGGAGAGTCGCTTGGGGACCTTGTGGGACGTAGTGCAGAAGGTCTCTGTATTTGGCCCTTTAAAAAATGGGGCTGTTTCTGCACAAAACCTTCGCCAACATAATCAATTCATATGTGCTTGTGTCTGGGATGTTGGTTCATATGAATTGAGCTGCCTGACCCACATATGTCAAATACGACGGAGAGTACACTATATATATATATATATATATATATAAATATATATATATATATATATATAAATGATGTTAAATGTTAAAGAAGACAGACTTGATACAAATGTACACGAATGACAAAAAACGTTGCGATAAATATGCCAAAGAATAGTCCGAATAATGTAAATAGTGTACATAATACCTCATCTCAGAAATATAGACAGATACTGAAAGGCCGAAACGTTGTAATAAATATGGCGACAAAGATGAGGACAATAGTCCAAATAATGTAAATAGTGTATCTTGATGCAAGTTACAATCTTTACGAGAAAATCACATGTTTTTTTCAGAAAATTCTTAACTACACATTATCTTTATTATTAAAGGGCCTTTTTTCTTTTTAATGTATACATAAGTGTCATAATTGACAGACAGAATATTTCGATTACACACATCTTTCATTGATTATCCTTTCTCTTTTCTATTCTTTTTATCTTTTTTTCTCTTTCATGTGTCTTTAACTTGTCACAAATGATGTAGCCATTTTTCCGTAGTCTGTATTTTAAATTATATCAATAAATCAAAAGTCAGTTTATTCAACTGAAAATAACTTCTATTCGTCTCAATCTAAATTTATACAAAATTCTCTAATACCTCCTCTCTTTGAATGATTACAGCATCTACCGTTCCACAATCTCACATAGGCTTTTTGCCTGTCTTTATGTCTATGTCTTTATTTCCACTCTCTCTCTCTCTCTCTTTCTCTCTCTCTATCTATCTATCTATCTATCTATTTATCTATCTATCTTACGCGTCTTTCTTTCCAGCTTTTTCCCCCGCTTTTAAGTATACATAAACTTTGTCATTGAAACCTGGAGAAACATTTTCTGTTTCCTTTTGGAATTGAATATCTGATGAATTGCGACCTTAAAAATCAGGAGGTCAATGGCATCCGCTACCTTGGTTTCAATCTTATGGTATCCTCAGGTGAACACCTAACACATTTTTTTTATATTTTTTCCACACACAAGCACACACACACACACACGCACCAAATTTTTATGAGTAATCCAGAGTTCGAATCCCAGTCGAATCCATTACATTCACTTACGTGCTAATACCCTTGGGAAAGGTATGAATCCTCTTCTTACCCCTCCAGTTATGACAGACTGGGTTCTATAGCCTTGGATGGCAACTGGTCTAGGAGTAGGGAAAATCTGAATTCAAAAACCTGCAGAGGGTCGTTTGGGGAACATGTGGCATGAAGTGCACCAGGTCTGGGTCTTTCAAAAATTGTGGGTGGTTCTCCACAAAAACATAATCACTATAATCAAATTACATGTGCTGGTGTCGGGCTTTCGGTTCTGAGGAACTGGTCTGCTTGACCCTCATACGTCAACTTATATATATATATATATATATATATATATATATATATATATATATATGTATGTATGTATGTATGTATGTGTGTGTGTGTGTATTATACGTTATTTTATAGATATAAATAGTTAAGTAATATCGAGATATGACCGTTCGAGAAAATACATGAGAAATTTGTAGTTTAAAAGCATTAGTTCGGCCTTCCCCTCTAGCTAAATGGTATAGCGCGTTAGGCTTTATGACGGTTGCGTGTAGGATACAGGTTCGATTCCTGTCGGAGGACACATATTTTCTTTGATATTTCTTGGACATTCAGCCCAGTAAATGTTGTTAATACTGTTTATCATAAACAGAGCATTTACTTAAATATTTGTATCTGTAAAAAGAACGTATAAACAGGAAATATATTTAAATAATTATCGGACTTCGTCCTTTTTTCATAATATATATATATATATATATATATATATATATATGTAAGTGAACATTGAAGTCACCATTCTTAGGCGACAGGCTGTTTCATGTTAGATCACCTAATGTTTGCGTTTAGCATGAAACAGTCTGTGGCCTCTTAGTTTTGAATTCAATGTTCACTTTTATATTTACATACGCTCTATCTCTGATATTGAGCACTTTACCGCATAAATTTCTGCACGCCTTAAAACTATATTCTTCATATATATATATATATATATATATATATATATATATATATGTGTGTGTGTGTGTGTGTGTGTGTGTGTATTCAGTAGCATGGATATGAGTTTGTAACTCTGGGTTTCACGCTTTTGCGAACATCAAACCGTTTTTTTTTTTTTGCATTGCCTTTTCTTCTCTTTTGCTGATGCAGATTTCTCTCTTCCTCTGTGACTCTGGTTTCCTTTTCCTCTTCTTCGCCTCTCTCTCTCTCTGCATCTCTCTCTCTACTCACACACTGCCTATTTCACTATTTCTCTTTCTTTTTTCTTTTCTCTTTTTTTGTTTCTTTCTTTTTCTTTCTTTTTCTTTCCTTCTTTCTCTTTTCTCTTTCTTCCTTTCTTTTTTCTTTTCTTTCTTTCTTTCTTATTTGTTCCTTCCTTTATTTCACTCTTTTTCTTTCTTTCTTTCTTTCTTTCTTTCTTTCTTTCTTCCTTCCTTTCACTTTTTCTTTCTTCCTCTCTTGCTTTCTTTCTTTTTTATTTCTTTCTTCTCTCCTTTCTTTCTTTCTTTCTTTCTTTTTTCTTCTTTCTTTCTTCCCTCCTTTCTTTATTTCTCTCTCTCTCTCTTTCTTCCTTTCTTCCTTCCTTCATTCCTTTCTTTCTTTCTTTCACTTTTTCTTTCTTCCTTTCTTGCTTTCTTTCTTTCTCCCCTCCTTTCTTTCTTTCTTTCGCTGTCTCCCTTTCTTCAATCGTTTCTTTCTTTCTTTCTTTCTTTCTTTCTTTCTTTCTTTCTTTCTTTCTTTCTTTCTTTCTTTCTTTATTCGTTTTACTTTTTCTTACTTTCTTTCTTTCTTTCTTGTTTTCTTCCCTCCTTTCTTTCTCTCTTTCTTTTTTCTTTCTTGCTTTCCGCCTTTCTTTCTCTCTTTCTTTTTTATCTCTTTCTTCACTCCTGTCTTTCTTTCTTTCTTTCTTTCTTTCTTCCCTCTTTTTTTTCTTTCTTTCTTTCTTTTTTTCTTTCTTCCATCCTTTCCTTCTTTCTCTCTCTTTCTTCCTTTCTTCCTTCCTTCCTTTCACTTTGTCTTTCTTCCTTTCTTGCTTTCTTTATTTTTTCTTTCTTTCTTCCCTCCCTCCTTTCTTTCTTTCTTTCTTTCTTTCTTTCCTACTTAGTTTCTTCTTTCTTTCTTCCTTTCTTCTTTCTTTTTCTTTCTTCCTTTCTTTCTTTTTATTTTTTCTTTTTTCTTCCTTCCTCCTTTCTTTCTTTCTTTCTTTCTTTCACTTATTCTTTCTTTCTTTCTTTCTTTCTTTCTTTCTTTCTTTCACTTATTCTTTCTTCCTTTCTTCCTTTTTTTCTTTCTTTCTTTCTTTCTTTCTTTCCTTTATTCTTTCTTCCTTTCTTGCTTTTTTTCTTTCTTTCTTCCTTCCTTCGTTTCACTTTTTCTTTCTTCCTTTCTTTCTTTTTTCTTTCTTTCTTCGCTCCTTTCTTTCTTTCTTTCTTTCCTTTCTTTCTTTCTTTCTTTCTTTTCTTTTTCTTTCTTTGTCTCTCTGTGCATCTGTATTGATTCCTTTTCACAAATTCACGAACGAAAACCATTTTTTTTAAACCAGCGACCATTTTCCAACTTTTCAAGTATTTTTTTTTTCCCTTTTCCCTCGTCGTTCGGTTTCATGAGCAACGCGGTATGGATGACAATTGAAATTGAAAATCTTGGCTTCTTTTTGCTTTTTCTTTGTTTATCTACAACTTATTTTCGTGGCGCGGAAATGAAAACATTTGCCGTCCCCACAACCCACCCAACAGGTATTAAAGAGAGGCAAGAAAGACAGACAGACAGAACTGGGCCAGGGAGATGAAGAGAAATTGTCTAAAGAGAGTCAAGGAAGAACAAGAAAAACGAAGTAGGAATTAAAGGAGGAAAAGGAAAGGAAAGAGAAGAATTTGATAGAGAGAGAGAAAGTGGAATAGAAAGATCAGGGTGAAAGAGAGAGAGAGAGAAAGACCAAGAGATTCGTAAAGAGAGAAGTGAAAAGAGAGGGAGAGAATAAAGAGAGAGAAAGAGAATGACTAGTGTAATATGGAAAATTGGGAGAGAAAATAGAATAGAACAATCAAAGGGAATGAGAGAGAAACGTAGAGAGATCCGTAAAGGAAGGAGAGTAAGAGAGTAAGAAAGAGAGAGGAGGGAGTAAAAGGACGGAAATAGAAGATCGAGGGTTACATGGAAAAAGAAAAGAGAAAGTGGGGGGATAGAAAAAAATAAGAGCGAAAGAGAGAGAAAAGCGAGCGTTTCGTAAAGAGAGAAAAGGAAAGAGAGAAAGAGTGAGAGAGTGGGAGAATAGAAGGAGAGAGAAAGAAGGGCGAGGGTTAGATGGAAAAATGGGAATAGAAAAAAAGTAAGGGCGAAAGAGAGAGAAAGGCGAGCGTTTCGTAAAGAGAGAAGGAAGAGAAAAGAGAGAGAGAGAGAGAGAGAGAGAGTAGAAGGACAGAAGAAGACGGTCGAGTATTACATGGAAAAAGAGGAGAGAAAGACGGAACAGAAAAATAAGAGAGAAAAGACGAACGAATCGTAAAGAGAGAAAGAGAAAAGGAGAGAGAGAGAGAGAGAGTAGATAGGGAGGAGAAGGACAATGGCTTTGTACAGAAAGGGAAAGACAAAAGAGGAGGAAGACCAGTGAGAAGATGAGAGAAACACAGATTTGTAAAAGGAGACAAAGTAGAAGTGAAAGCGCATGACCGGAAGTAGACAAGCAATCTTTCGGATATGGAGAGGAAAAAAAACGATGAAGGTCAAAGGGGGAACACATTTATTCAACATCTGCTGTGAGGTTATCCAAAGGGAACTAGGTATCCTATCAGGATTTATTAACGGTGTGCGAAATCCTAACAATATAAGATACGCAGATGACACTGTGTTATTGGCCGACTCGGAAACAAAAAGACAGGACCTCTTAGACAGTACAGTAGATAAAAGCAACAAAAAAAGACTAACAATCAGTTGCAAGAAGACTGAATATATGGTCACTAACAAGCGAAAAACACCAAGATGCGAATTATCTGGAAAGCATTTTAACATGAGAATTGACATGCTTTATTGCTAAGTGATATATAAGCCTTTTATGTCGTAGTGGATACTGACTGCTTTCAGTAAACCACAATAGAGATTCTTTTCTTCCTGCCATCAGCATGGCTGATGCTAGACTAGGAGAGCAACACACTACGCCTTCTCGGCCTCATATATTCCAGCGACTATGGAGCGACTATATAGAATCAATAGCTGCATCTACTGCAAGGAAAGTTGGGTCACTGTGTCGTGCCAGAAGGTTTCTCTCGAACCATCTTGCACATTTGCAAATCTACCATTCTTCCATGTACTGAATACTGCTGCCATATATGGTCTGGTGAGCCTGCTGTACATCTTGAGATTCTTGATAAACTCAACGCTCACAGGGCGAGATAAGGGAAGGCATAGACAAGGATTTTGTAAGGCTAGACTAAGGAGAAGTTAAAGGTCAGGAAGAGAAAAAGAGAAACGCAAATGTTTCATGAGATAGGGAAAAAAAGAATCAAATGGAAAGAGAGAGACAAATTTTGCCTATAAGAGACTATCTAGGATATATATATATATATATATATATATATATGTGTGTGTGTGTGTGTGTGTGTGTGTGTAGCGGGTGTAACAGTAAAATTGTACATTTGTTAGATTACGATGTTAGAAATGATAAAAGATATATTATTGGAATTCTCCGAGGTTTTATTGGACCCTTCTAGTAATAAGAATGTATAATTATTCTCCAAGTTTAACATATTACGCGTGATGAAATAGATCATAAACGAAAACGACGTTCATCATTCATTAATCAAAGATACCCATCGGAAGCTCATGAAGGACTGAAATAAAAATTATATATATATATATATATATATATATATATATATATATATATATGATTTTTGGATCTATTTCCTACTTATTCAAGATTATCTTTGCCCTCTCTAACCTTCTAACTTTCTGTCCTAGAGTAACAAGGTTCCTCTCAGGTTTCACGTACGATTTCATTTGCAAGTCTTTTTTTGCTGCTCTGTCACGGGTGAAACTCAACTCTCACGTGAAAATCGTCTTATGAATTAAGTTAGATCTTTTCTAATTGATCTCTTTAGCTCTAAGTTGAAATGATGACGCCTTTTCCTGTTGTGACTTCCTGATCCAGATTTCTTCTCTACTCTTCCCTCTTTTTAAAACTTATTCACCGTTCTCTTGATGGTTCTTGAATGGACTTTGAAGATGGAAACCAGAGTATGAATATTCGTACGATTACTGAAGGCCTGAATGATTATTATCCTCGCACCATTACTCAGTTGGGACTGGCACGAAACGATTTTAACCTGTTCTCTTTCCAGCTGAATGTCTCAAAGTTTTTTTTTGTGTGATTCTTACAACAAATGATGTCAAGATGGCTAAACGTCTTCTTTGAAAACCTGGAAAAAGAAACTCAATTAGTTTAGTTGTTTTTTTATATATTAAACATTTTGTGGGATGGACAATTATGCTGTTACACGAGTTGGACAATTTTGCTGTTACAGCCAGTACACACACACACACACACACACACACACACACACACACACACACACACACACACACACACACACACATATATATATATATATATATATATATATATATATCAGTCTAAATTTTATGCATGCCACGTGTGTAGACGCTGTTTGGTGAGGGCAGGATGAAAAAAAAGTAATCCAATTACTTCCTGGGGAGAAAACTTGTGGAATATCTCAAGAGTCTAAATATATTTCTTTCTTAGGAAAGATAACATTCCACGATTGTGTCTTTTAGGTTTTATTCCACTGATTTTCATGCATAAAAGAAACGCTAATTTACATTTTTGAAATATAAGATTTATATTCACACATTGAGAAAAATATGAGGAAATAGAGATTGGTCGATAAATAAGCATGAACATAGATCATGAACAGTTCAAGATATATCATATATATATATATATATATATATATATATATATATATATATATATATATATATATATATTATATTTATTTAGGTAGCATTAATGTATGTTTCATTAAATAATATAGACAAGTGTTGTATATTTATTTTAAATCAATTTCCTTTTCATATATTTCAGGTAAAGCTTAATAATATTATCATTGAGAGAAAAAAAATCACCATATTGATACATGTTTTATATATATATATATTTTATATATATATATATATATATATATATATATATATATATATATATATACCATATGTATATATATATATTTTTATATATATATATATATATATAAAACATGTATAATATTTTTTTTTTTCAATGTATGTATATATATATATATATATATATATATATATATATATATATATATATATAATGGACTCTCCATCGGTTTCGACGTATGAGGATCTGTTAGCTTATTGATTCAGTTATGAAAGTTTTTGCGATAATCTTAAGTGGCATTTTAAGACCCGCTAGTGATTTACAAAAGGAGCCACACACACACACACACACACACACACACACACACACACACACACACACACACACACACATATATATATATATATATATATATAGATAGATAGATAGATAGATAGATAGATAGATAGATAGATAGATAGATAGATAGATAGATAGATAGATAGATAGATAGATATTAGGAGACATAGATAGATAGATAGATAGATAGATAGATAGATGAATAGATAGATATTAGGAGACATAGATAGATAGATAGATAGATAGATAGATAGATAGATAGATAGATAGATAGATAGATAGATAGGAGACATAGATAGATAGATAGATAGATAGATAGATAGATAGATTAGGAGACATGATATTAGATAGATACATAGATAGACTGGTATAATAGATAACGGTTCGAACTGAGAAATCAGAGAGCTTTTATATATATATATATATATATATATATATGTGTGTGTATATATATTTGTGTGTGTGTGTGTGTGTGTGTGTCTGTGTGTGTGTGTGTATATGTATGATTATGTGTGTATTGTATGATTATGTGTGTGGATGTGCGTGCTTGATCAATAACACTGTAGCCTGTCATATAGTTTTGAATATTCATTTTAAAAGTTTCCTCTATAATTCCGTATTCATCACTGAATTTGCATTGACAAGGGAGGAGATTATGGTTGGAACATATGTGGCACGCTATAAATAAATTAATGTATATATATAAATAAATCTTAAATAATAAAACATATGTGTCAATACGGCTATTTTCTCTTGTCTTTTCGTAATGACATCAAAAACTTACCGAAATTACATCGAAAATGAGTAAACAGAATATGCCTAAACTGTACAATGAAACATGTCTTAATGAAAACATGCTGTTATAAATAAATATATATATATATATATATATATATATATATATATATATAAATATTTATCTAAAAATATTTATGACAGTTACATTTAAGTTAGAAATATCGAACAGTGACGTTCCATATCACGTGACGTCCACGTCTCGCGACGGACGCTACTTGCT